ACTATCAAGTCATTTTTTTTGGTCAAGTAAGGATGTGTTCCTTCAACAGTGCGCGGAAGTCTGACATCCATACAGTCCGTCCCATTTATGCAGGAAAACGATTTATATTTTCGCGTCCACAGCTGATGTGGTTATTGCAGAGTGCTGGATATCATATAGATCGTTTCGTACGTTTCCTCGWTCTGTTCCACTAAAAATAAAAAAAATCAATTAATAACAATGATGCAAAATCATTATGAATAAGATCCATACACAAGAAGCAAATTAACGATCATTTCTGTATGCATCTCTCCTATATACAAGCCTAAAATCGGTGACTGAAATACAGTCAAAACAATGACTACAACGACTACAACGACCAATAATTCATTACGAATCCATTTTAACTAAACTMGCGTAGCTTTTCATCTTAAATTCAATAAAAACGTTTGCTCTTTTAAAAGTGCAAGAGATATATCAAGAACATCAGATAAATATAAGGCATTTCATCGAGCAGATGAAATGAGCAAAACAATATGGCGACACGTACATTTTACGTAAAATAAACTCTAATCATTCAATTTTCTTACCTTTTTCGTTTCCTCAACTTATATAAACATTTAGATATTAATTTCAGCTAAATTTAACTCTTTCCCGGCTTAAACTAGTGAAAAATTCATCTATTTTCGAAGCACTTCAATGCTTGACTCTTGTTGCACGTGCAGAACGTGTAAACTGGTCACGCGATAGGAGGGACTGGGCACTAGTATCGCGYGAGGAATTACACATGTAAAGTTTCAGCGCGCRTGTAAAAAGACTACGACGTTTGACAAAATATCGTCCTCTTCRGATCTATAATGCATGTAAGTACKTATAACTTGCGTCAAGACTCGTTGGTACCGGTTTGGGGTTAACTGGTCTTGGGGTTGGCATTAGGGCTTKKGGCTAACTGGCACTAGGGGTTAGAGCTATTAGGGTTAGTGCTATGGTCACTAACCCTAATGTCAGTTAACCCTAAACCCYAATGCTAACCCTAACYACAATCACAAAAGTTTTGAGCTAACCCTAACCCCATATACTAACCCCAAACCCTAGCACAAACCCTAATGCAAATCTTTCAAAAATTTGCGATTATGTTAGTAATTATGACGACACCGTTATGACGATAAGTTCAGTGACGTACTCACAATTATCTTTGATACGAGACTAATTAGATAATTTTGATTATATGCAGATAATTTATAATTTCTTGATGTGTCTTTTTCGACATTGGGGAGGGGTGGGAGGGTCCGTTCAGTATCATAAGGGAGGGGAGGGGGRTACCAAATCAGAAAGACMTTTGTTTAAAATATTTAATTCTCATCAAAACAAAAACAAAATGATGTGATTCATGTACTTCACTTTTCTTTATTCMCAGTTAACTAAACAATATACACAATTACGACTATACAATCGACCCAAGGCATTTCTTTCCAGTCTTTTCCTTCTCTGAAACTGTGACAACGTAATTGCTGTTTTTCTGCTATTTTTTTTTTTACTCAAAAATTCCGCGGACAAATGTTCTGATTTTTTTTATATATTTTTAGTCTCCTTATAAGAAATTGCCATGCAAAAAATAGAGCCGCTCTCAATGACAGATTTTTTTTTATTATGTCAAAGTTACATTGTTACATTTTGAGTTAAAGCAATTTCTTTCATTTTGCAGATTTAAAAAAAATTAACCGCGCGAACAAAGCACGGTTTGAATTTTTTTATTTCAAAAATACAATAATTTGAGAATGATGTAGTGTTGCTATGGTAACCAAATACGCATAATTTTTTATACTAAATGCATGATGCTTTGATATATGCACGATGCACTTAAATATCCCATATTCCTTTTAACTATATGGACCTTAAGCAAAATTTCAAATACGAAACGTACCTGGTTATTAACAGTACCGGTATATTTTTTTTGTGTGTGTGTCTCTTGAATCTAACAATTACAAATGTAAGATTATGACATGAATGAATCAATAGAAAAAAGTCAAAATCGTTATTTTTATTTCTTTGTAAAGGATTTAGCAGAAAACTTTATACATGGCATACTTAGACTTTCTGAAAGTCATGCTTTKAGTCAATTTTTGGCTTAAGCAGGTTTCCTCCTGATTTGTAGCAAGCCTAAATGCATACTCAGTTATTTAAAAAAAATATTTATTTTGTGAAATGAAGAATAAAAAGAATCCATCAGTCCCCGTTAACCCCAGCTAACTACTAGTAACTACTGACGCTCTAAATATCTCTGAAAAGCTGTTCTCATCACAGTTACAGCAAAGTCGACATCTTCTTTGGTGATACACATTGGTGGCTTTATCCTGAAAACCTGAGGAAAAAAAAACGAATTACAAAAACCAAAAACCAATGGAGTTAACCCTGGAGTAATACTAATCAAGCTTTGAACAACCCGACCAATGTATGCAAATGGCCTGCAGTTGTAAAGGTTGATCATCAATATCATATTAATGTTATCATCATCATTACATAAACGACTTACATTTCCATGTAATCCACCTTTACCAAGTAGCAGTCCCATGTCTTTGCATTCTTCCCAGACAGGTACAAAAAGTTCAGCAGGCATCGGCGTTTTCTTTTCCTGATCAGAAAAAAAATGTCAGTTATTCTATAAATTTCATTGCAGATTTGACCTCAGGCTTGGCAGCAGCAGCACTCAATGCAATCCATTCCATTTTTTAATTCATACATCTCCTCACACTTCTTTAGTTATCCTATTTTTTTGTCGGCTCATTTATTTCTCAACTTATCAATCGATTCATTCACTTTTTCATCCACTTATGCATTCATTCTGGTAGTGAGTATGTCGGAATTGCCATCTTTGCCTCTACAATACACCTTGTTTTATCTAAAATTATGTACATCTCAGTCCGTACCTTATCAATGACCATCTCTACGCCCGTCATCAATCCTTTTCCTCTAACATCACCTACAATATCTGGGAATTCTGTTCTTAATTCAACAAGTTTCTCCAGTAGATAAGTCCCTGTAGTTGCACAGTTTTGTTGCAAGTTGTCATTATCAATAGTCTGAAGAAGATGTTTAAAGCTGTAAACTTTTGTTTTATGAGTATAATATTATATACTACATACTAAACCAAAGAAACTGTTTCAAAAGAATTATACAAAGAATTTAACATGTATTATTAAGTTGAAGAAAACATCAAAGTGACATTGCATCATGTTTTTTGTGTGCTTGGACAGAACAAATATCAACTTTCCTTTGAATATAATTATGCTCAACTTATTTTTTACCTCAAGAACAGCCTTTCCAACAGCAGAAGCTATGGTATTACCACCATATGTGTTGAAATGAACTGCTTTCGAGAAACTTTCAGCAATTTCTAATAAACATCCCCAAAAGACCATTATTTAATAATAATAATAATGAAAATATAATAATAATTAATAAAATGCTTTTAATTACAGTACTAGGTGGTTCTGAATCTGTGATGCACCACGCACGCTCTAATATACCTCACTATTAACTGTTTTAGCATACAACACTCAGTCACAGCTGCTAGTTTTTGACTGAGGGAGGAAAACCAGTGTACCTGGAGAAAAACGTTCGGAGCAAGGAAGAGAACCAGCCTACAAACTCAAATCACATATAGTCCCGGACCGGGAATTGAACCAGGACCACAGCGGTGATAGACCGGCGTTTTAAACCGCTCGGCCATCCTTGCTCCCCATTTAGCAAAACATATGAGAATATGGTAAGAGTCAAGAGCAAAAGAGTGAACGAAAAGCAAGAGAATGAAATAAAAAGGATGGATTTGTAAGAAAACCAGGAGAAGAAATGAGATGGAAGATAAGAGGAGATAAAAAGGAATCAAACTGTAAAAGAGAAACAAATGTGTAAGAAGCAAGGAGCAATATGCAGAGATCACATGTGATAGTACATTAACATACCTGGTGTTGTAATCACGGCACCCATAGGAAATCCATTACCAATACCTTTGGCCAATGTGACTAACAAAAAGAAAAAGAGTATAATATATAAGATATCAAAAAATAAGATAATTCATAATGGTAAGAAATAACAATAATAATAATAATAATAATAAACAAATAGAAAAACAAACAAACAAAACAACAACAAGCAAACAAACAAAAAAACACATCTCTAATAACAATACCAAATTCCTACCAATATCAGGTATAACATCTTGTGTTTCAAATCCCCAATAATGGCTCCCAAGACGTCCAAATCCACATTGAACCTACAGTATAAGACAAAGAATAGATGATTGGGATTCCTGTTTATTCAAATCTACACAGGAATCCYAATCAATTACCTCATCAGAAATGCAGACACCACCTCTGTCCCTAATTAGCTTGTATGCTTTCTTTAAAAATCCTTTGGGAAGATGAACACTTCCTCCAACTCCCTGAAAGTCAATGCCCAGATGAATTAGAAAATGTGAGTTGAAGAAAGAAAGAATGGAAAATGAAAAGATTATGGAAGTGAGAAATGAAAAAAAGTACCTGAATAGTCTCAGCAATAAAGCCAGCCACTTTCTTGCCTGTACTATGAATCAACATGTCTTCCAATTGATCAGCATAGTTATTTGATGCTTGACACACACCTGAGGAAAATAATTGTACTTTTACAATGGTTTTCTGACATCCATCAAAGTGCCCTGGTAACACCATGCATGCAGCTACATGCAAATGCCATCACCACTATTTGCACAAACTTAACCCACTAACCTCCTTTCTTTGCTTACCCTCTTCCTCAAAGTTAGCAAAGCTACTTTTATATATYATATATTAATTTCCTAAAAGCTAATTGAATAAAGTCTGTAACGATGTTTGTATAGTACATAATTAGTTTACCTGGGGCACAATCACAAGTTCTTGTGGTCTAGAATTTGGATAAGATTAACWTGAAGAGTTAACTTAAATCATTTGTGAATAAAATATTTTGAAATACATCTAGGATGATTAATAATATGAAATATAATGGAAATATACATCAAAATGAATGTAGTCTATGAAAATGAAAAAGTGATACATGGATGAAAAAACACATAAACAAATGAATGGAAATAAAAAAGAAACAGAAAAAWTCAGTATCAAATATCTCACTTGTGCAACTGAGTCCCTACAATTTGCACCTCCCCATGGACCACGGTAAACATCAGCATTCATTGTCTAAAAGAGGACAACAGAGTTTTGCATTAACCTGGTCGACAATGGAYTCCAGTGCTGTGGTGAACTGTGGTAAATTATCAGATTGTTAAAGATTTCTTACTGCAAAGTATCCAAAGTTGACAGGAACATTGAGCTTCCATGTGGAGTGGTTTAAGATTCCAAGTGTTGCTGGACTAGTGCCATGGTAAGAATTCCTTTAAAAACAAACATCATGTTTACATTATTACACAWCTATTTTGAAAAGTAGGTATTGAAAACCAGCAATTCATGAGAAAAGGATAAAACTCTCATTCTCTATCATGGGATCGAGATATCTCTTCAAAGGCTTCAACAGGATATTTATTTGATCTCATGGACAATGGAGTTCAATATTATGGAAGCAAAATCAACATACCTCAAACTAACAATATCAAAATTGCCAGTGTGWGCTCTAGCCATCATTATAGCCATGTCATTGGCCTCTGATCCACTGTTTACAAAATGACAAACCTTATAAAACAAAACACAATTACTGCTTATTGAAGAAATAGAGAATGTCCAGGGACATGACAAAAWAGTGTGTAACTGAACAAATGATTGGTTGAGATGTATCATGTAAGAAATCAGAACTTAGACATCAATATGGCATTGATTGAATACCTTTAGATTGCCAGGCATTTTTTCAGCCATTGCTTGTGCATACTCATGGATAGGTGGATTGTAATAGATATTAGTTGTRTGCCATAATTTATTCATCTGTTCTGCGGCGGCCTTAGTAATATACCTGTAAGGCAACAGATTAAATATTCAACTCCTGTTAGCTCCTTGATGTTTGATGTTTGGTTGAAAAATCTCTCATTCTTGTCTCAGATCCTTCTCAGTTTCCCAATCAAAAATCAAAGCCTCTCCAGTAATTCCTCGCCGGTAGCCCCCCAAACAAATTCCCGCTCCGCAGTCGCTGTAAGAATCTCTCTTCTCTACTTTAAGTTTACCAATGCTTAGCAAAGAGTTCCCAATACTAATGTTATTCCATGATGAGTAAAATATGGTCTTCATGTCTTTACTACATGTAGTTAACATCACTTTCACTGCAAACTATTAAAAATTGTACTCAATCTAACTTACAAATACACTTCACCTGACTGCCTGACTGGAGTCTACACTAGCCAAACTGATCAATTTATTTATTTAATGTCACAGACAAACATACGGATGACAATGACCAGCTCCAACAGTTACTATTCCAGCAAAGAAGTCAAGGTATCTCTTGTTATTAGAGTCCCATAACCATTGCATATGTCCCTAAGATAAAACATTTTGAAAACATTACTATCACAAATAATGATCTCCTCCCCCCTCCCCCACCCCTGTTGGATCTACCATTGCACGTTCACCTAAAGATTACTGTACCCCTTTAAGCAACACTTGAAAAAGCAAAAACCTACCTTCCAGATATAGACAGGATTCTTGTAGTACGTCAACAGACCTGGTCCCAACTTAGATTTCCTCACAGCTTGCGCATTATCAAATGGCATTCCCTGATCGACATAATTCATATTGATATTAGTATCCATATATTAGTATTCATCCTTTTATTCATTTACATGTCTGTAGTTTTAAATTTTATTTTAGAGTTGGTGTGATATTGGAAGACATTTGTAGAATGTGGATGATCTACCAAACAAAGGGGCACAATAAATCCGGCATTCTGACTGGCTACTTAGCTATATGGTCTATTCATGGATCCCTATTTCATGATCTATCCTCATCCTCTATTTATGATGTTGATATTAAAGCAATGAATGATGATGATTTATGCTTCTTTGATGATTTTTGCTATTTTCCATGCGCAGATCGTTACATATCAAACAATTTCGATGATTTCACATTAAACCTTGTAAGGTTCTGGTTCGTAATCACATGGAGGCATCTCAATCTCAGGAATTRGTGCATTCTGTGTCTTTTGATACAACACTGAACCTGAAAACAAAAAYCGAATTCAATTAAGTATTAATACAAAATTTCTTCAGGGTCCGAAGAAATTATATCATTCCGCAGGGGCCTAACAAAACCCAGGTCCTCATCAGGGGGTGTACGGATTGTGTTGTCGACGTGTCGACAAAAACAAAAGCATGGCCGCTCAAGGAGATGGAGATACAACAGTCAAAACTTACATGAACCAGCTTTGAAGTTCCTTGATTGCACAAAGAATGCCAAGCGCTGCAATATAGGTCTTTTCACTCGTGTTAAAGCACTCATTTTGCAAAAAAATCTAAACTCTTGTCAGCTCAGCGTACTGTCGTCCAGTCCTC